AGTTTTTTTTTCTAGATTGAGCCTTAATTCGCGAGAAACCGGCAAACGACGGGCCTATCTACAAAAGCAACCACGCCCTAACCTCGAAGCTCTCTGGAAATATGTGATAAATCAAGTAAATGTAAATGGAATACAGTATGTCCCGATTTTGTCAGCCCCCTTTTTTGAAAATGTTTTCCAATGTTCTACCAAACCCATGCTCTTTTTCAGTAATCTTCGTGAACCTATTGCACCAACGTATACTTTAAATATTCCTCTTAACGATAAATGAGAAAAATTTAGATTTATGATTATGTAAAATTATTGAAAGAAAAAAGTCTGAAGCGCGGAGGGGCTGACAAAATCCGGTCATTACTGTATTTAAAATAAATAAATTCATTCTTACCTTTTTATGGTTGTTTGATTATTAATTGCTATTATTACCTGGTTAGAGTTGGCTCCTTTAAAATACTGTGTACAATTTACGTCATTATTCCTCAACTCCATCGATTTTCGTTCCTGCGTGGTTTTTGTGAGGTATATTACCAACAATCAATACGCAACTATCGATTTAAAATTGGCTCACTACTTGACTAGCCTATTGGTCCCAAACAAATCGATTAACGTACCCTATTCTAGACGAAATTCTAGTACTACACTATGTTTGTTTTGATTCGCTATGAAAGTTTGACAGATAAAATGAGGGGTTCGTGGATTTTCCTATGTTTTGAGGGGTGCTTCGATTAGCTTGGAACCGATGATAGTACCAAAGCTGAGCCAAAAATGTGAGCACGTTTCTTCGGGACCTTCTGGTCTTAGAGTTACCTCTATGATATTACACTGTAGTACGACTTGGGCATGCACCATGCAAGTAATTCATCTCTCGTCAAGATGATGGGATATGGTGATGGTGAAGGGATATAGAAAACGAATAAAAGAACAGATATAGAAAACGAATAAAAGAAAATCGGGACATTACTGTATTAAATTTTCATTTACATGATTTATCACATATTTATGGTCGTAATCTAATACACAAATTTGATCACAATACGATCCTAAAAGCTGCAGTGACCTAGTGACGCCATCTTGTTGTACGTCCCAAGGGGTTGGTCCACAAACGAAGTGACAGACGACTAACTGGCGAAGAAATCAATTAAAATAATGCGGTTCGCTGTAATAGAATTTCCTTTGTGCCATCAGCCACCAGATGGGCTATAATTTTTGTTTTGATTTGAACATAGTTGATTTTGTGTGCAATATGATCTTTGACAGTGTGCAAAGAGTGTATCATTTTGTATTTTTTTTATGCAGTTTAGAGTAGAGTGAAAGAGATAGAACCAAAACATTCTAGTACATTTAGTGTTGCCATGTGGTACAATCCAGTAGTAGTGGTGGTATACTGAAAAATTGCAATAGCAGGTGCGTCACCAAAGTTTTTGAACCGCTCCGTCTGTCACTTCGTTTGTGGTTGGTCACTCCACACAGTGTGCCAAAAATAAGCTTGGGCACAGCCATTGCAACTGTTTGGCACCCATGTTTACAATTTTTCTGATTACTTTGCCAGTAATGAACTTTTTCTGCGCATGTGCATGTGTTAAAATTTGTTATTGATGTTGCCACAATATAATCATTTTGTTTTTTTCAAAACACACCTGTGAATCTCCACCAAGTTTCGTCGTTGCTTTTGCTTTCCTTCTAAGGACATGGACTACACCTTACATTGGTTCATCGTGTTCAGATTTGAGACAGCCGCCCGTCACCGAAATAGGCGACACACAAGCGGACGCTGCTGCCACGGCGGGGGGTTGCCAGGTGCTGGTGCTATGCCCATGCCCATGTTCTCGATGCTCTCGTTGCTCCACGCACCGTTCATCGTCCAAGACGAGGAGAAGCACAGGTTCATAAGGGCCCATGCATTAACTATGTCACGCTAAATCGAGGAGAAATTTGCCCCCCCCCCCCTATATCGTGACGTTTTTCCTATACCTAATGCATTGCTTGTCACAAAATCTTAGACCCCCTCCCCTCCCTAGATCGTGACATAATATATATATCAACCCATGAACGGGAATTTTGTGCCTTTGTGGCCGATCGCGCTGGGGTTGCACTTCATGATGCCGTTCACCACCAGGGCTACGCTCGGGAACTCGACCAATCCGGAGGAGGAACGTTCCTATTTCAGCAGTAACATTCGCACTTGCGACCGGTGGCAGTCCTTGGTGTTGAATGGAGTCCGCAGTAGATTCTCGGACGGCATACGGATGGCGTATTGAAGAAGTGGAGTGGGAAAAGAAAGCGATTGTTCTTGGAGGCGCTGTTGTCCATGAAGCTGATCGAATTGTACGGCAGGATGTAGTGGTTGGTGGACTCTGACAGTAGTTTGCTTGGAAAATGCAATCTGAATTTTTCTATTGGAAGGTTGTTCAAGTGCTGGATGCTCTTTGGTCTTCAGGAACTTTATCCAGCCAACATTTCCGTACAGACAAAACAGATTGAACAGTTTATCGATGATGGCTGTGTTGTTATCGAGTCCGTAGACCATCATCACTGCGCCCTGTTGCTGTACCGGTTGAATGAAGTTGGTTGGTCCGTTTCGGGTCAGCGGTGCGTTTTTCATCAGTCCGCCGTGGGTTCCGGCCGGCGTTTCCAGTTTTGCGACGGATGAAACTCGGGCGGTGAAAAATTCGATGCAAATCCGTTTCCTCAGCCGGCTCCCAGAAGGACTGGTTCAGGATCATGGTTGACTAATGATTGACGGTCGTTGTACGGGGTCGACCTTCTGCCGAAGATGGTAGGATCGTGTAGCAACGGGGCTCGTCCGTTGCAGGCATCCTTGGAGACCGCTGCTTCCAATGTGTAGTCCCAACTGGAGTCCGTGTCGTTTTTGTAAACATTGAGTTTTTCTGATTTTTTTGACATAGTCGATCTTCAGTGTGCAGCAACCGGAGTAGATGTCACAGCCGTTCAATGCATGGCGGGCTCTGGTGGCGGATTCAATGCTGTCAAACTCAACCATAGCTTGAACTCCATTCTTCTTGAATATCTTGATACGTTGCACTTGTCCGTTGGGTGAGCGGATGGTGTGTAGAACGTCCACTGTAATATGATAAATTGGATTAATGATGCTGAACAACAGGATATGGTTGTACCGGATTGCTACCTCCCACTTTCATCTATAATACCCCGTTCACATTACAACCTATATCACGTAATATAGGCTGTCTTGCAATGAGCACTCATACATAGGATTTCCAGTGAAAACTAGTTGTATGAGTGCTCATTACAAGACAGCGTATATCACGTGATATAGGCTGTAATGTGAACGGAGTATTACGTAGATGTTGTTGATGTTCCGGCTATTGAGCGGAACCGTCTAGATCATCTCCTGGCCGGTACAGAGGCGCTTGTTGTGCGGCCCGTCCTGGCCAAACGCCGGCACCGTTTCCGTTGAACGCCATGTGATTGAAATTGAGCTTTGTTTACTAGCACACACGGGCAAGCAAACTGGAACTTTTCCTCACTAAACGTACACCCCTATTCTGTATTTCGTTTCGAACGAAATTCTCATACAAAAAAATATTTTTTTGTATGAGAATTTCGTTCGAAACGAAATACAGAATAGGGGTGGTAGACTCGTACTAGGTGAAACTCCACACGTAAGGTCCGTATCTCGGAACGAAAATGTTCTTCCTACTCCCGGGTCATCTCAGGTTTCGAAAGACAAAACAAAAACAAGCGCTGTTTAAATACCGAGTTGCCAAACAAGACATTATTCACAAGCAAACATAAGATACACTCTAAAAAATCTTCACGTCCGATTTACGTGAAATATCACGTAGCTGATTTGTATTTAGAAAATCTCAAATGTTACGCGACGCTTGTAACTTTGACCTGCATTACACGTCATGTCCACTAAAAATGTTGGTGAAATTTACCGTACATTCACGTAAACAGATTTAGTGTATTGGTGTTTGTGTGTTTGGAAATTTGATATTTCCGTGAAACGAGATTTACGTGATTTTCAGGTACTAAAAAAAATCAATATGGCGTCACCGAGCGTGGTGGAAGACACAAACGTTTGTGGTGCAAGAACTCCTCAAAGATTCAAAATTCCTCAGCGCTTGCTTCATATGTTGGACGGTAATTAGATTCTTTTACATTAAGTTATTTATTATTATATGTAGCCTTTTTCAAGTTATATAATTTCAGACGGTGACATCAGCATTTTGAGTCTGCAAACAGGTGTTAATATTTTGTCAGAAATAAAAAAAAAACTCATACACGTTTCTACCTTATAATAATCAATTAGTCAATACAATTTTATGATTAGTCATGTATAAGTATTAATTTAAACACGTGAAATTTATACCTTCCCGATAAAATTGCATAATATTTACTGCTTCTATATATACTTCCTATTATTCTCATTAAAAATTCACGTACAAATTACATGAAAAGCATTTTAAACAAAACGGAATGTCACGTAAAAGTAACCAGATGTCCAGTAGTGTTCACCCCGATTTCACGTAAGCAGTACGTAGAAATCAGGTCTTATTTACCTGACTAATCACGTAGATAATTGAAGCTGAATTTTGATCGGCTACGTGCAATTCCGGTAAAAGTTACGTGAAAAATAGGGTGAACGAAAACCACCTATGTTTTCACGTCAATTGGACGTGAAGATTTTTCAGAGTGTAGTTCAATGACTTCTCGGAACTGCCGGCACAGCTGCAGCACACCGACAAAAAAAAAACTTTCGCCTATAATGCTTCGAAAACATGGCGCACTTTTGTATTTTTTTTTATTTGGGAAAGCCTTGCTCTAAAATATCTTCCAAACGACTGCCAAAACATTGAGATTTGTTTTGCACGTTCTTCGAAAACCTCTAAACCGAACTTTTGCCGCCCCACCTTACTCTATTTGTATTTTATTAGAAAAGTGACTCTACCTAAGGTAGGTACGTTTTGCTCGCGCAGAAGATTGTTCTTAGGCTTTTCGGATGCAGCAAATATTTCCTATTTGTATTTCACACTCCTCGTAGACCACTGCATTCCGTTTATTATCTTGGAAACAAGAAATAATGCATCAGTAAACAATGACTTAAACTTACCTCAAACGATGCTAAGTGCTTTGCTGTATGTGTTGTTCTAACTTTCCATACGTTGTATGACATCTGTCAGGTTCGAGCATCTAAAAGCATGTTTCCCTCCTTGACGAACCATATTCATTTGATCTGCGTAACATCAAAACGTTATAAGATCAAGACTTATCTGCATGGGTGAGCACGGTTCATATGGGGAATCCTAGTGTATCCTGGTGAGATCCTCCACTATCTTGATTATATCGTCCACCGTGGCTTCCTTTTTCGTTCCTTCGACGTCTATCTGCAGTCCTTGAGCCGCTTCGTGCATCTTATCCCGACTAAGATCAAGAAAGCTCTCCACCAAGTCACCATCGATGAATCCCTCGCATCGTTCCGTTTTCATTTCGGTGTGAAAACTGCGCCAATAGGCGTGATCTATCTTGCCAACCGATTTGATCGTATCAGTCAAATTTTCCTGCAGCTTTCGTAGGAACTCGTAGTAATCCGCTGGGATTTGCGTGACCAAACCGATCGCACCACTGACTGTGCCAAATAGGACACATCCGGAGGTCGGCGTCGTTCGTTCACCAATGTTCTCCATCACGAGGGATCCATGCCGGAACACATTCACCATATCACCCAAGTGAACCTGGGCAACCTCCGGCATCTGCTGCCGTTCGTCGTCGCTCGTTGCAGCGCTACAATAGAATGGTATCATGAATACACTGATGTTTAGATATTTTCAATTGTGTAGTAACGTACCCGTCCTTCAAACAGACGAAGAGATTGTTGCTGTTGTCCGCCCCAAGGAAGGCATCGTCGTCTAAAATCTCTATCGCTGTCATCCAGTTGGGTTGGTAATCGCGAGCAATTTCCTCGAAACTTCCCTCCATTTGTTTGTACTGTAGCAATGTGATCGATCGCATAAGGTCGCCCACCAAAATGAAATCGCCTGATGAAAGAAAAATAATGCCATTAACATAACGCAAGGTAACAAACAAACTAAGTTTTATCTTACCTTTGGTCTTGCAGTATAGGGCCAACACGTTGTTGAAGTGACTGCACTCGAGTCGCAGGTCTTTATCATCAGTCCATTCATACAATCGCACAGTCGAATTGATGCTGGCCAGAACTCTTCCGTTGAATTCTACCAAAGAATAGCAGGCACCTTTAATTTCCTTCTCGCTGACCTGTGTGAGAGTTCCATCCGCGTAGTAGTAGATGATAATGCGGCCAACCTTCGGTTCTGGTTCCTCCGGATTGACCAGTGCCGTTCCCACAATGTAGTACGTGTTTGGATCATTGCCCAGTTTCGCCGAAATCAGTGACATAGCGTATTCTGTCTGCATGAACTGATGAGCGTGCAAGACCTCGAAAGTGTTCTGATCGATTATTAACAGATTGTGAACTTCAACTTCTTGTCCGAATTCGGCATTACTTGCTCCCGGCTTCAGCAGCCCCATGTTGGTTGAAGATGTCACATTTGAAGTCTGCGTGGATGCACTTTGCCGTGATGGTGTCAGGCCGCTGGAGTCTTGAATGTCCGTTCGGAACGTAATAACGCCGAAAGTTTGCGAGGTTTCCTGATACGCGATTCTTCGTGGCGATTCACCCAGAGGAACAGTTCGAATGTGAAGCTTTTGTATTTCATCGATCGTACCTAGAATCACGGAGTTCTTCGTAGCCAGAGCCAAGCTATCCTGATAGGCCTCGGCATTCAGGGAACACATGTGGTTCACCTCCTTCAGATTGACGTTGGAAAACACCAGCTTGTGGTTGGAGCTGTAGATGACCGTAGGGCGATCCGAGCACGCAAATACATTTGTCGTTGAAAGCGATCGGAACGTCTTTAAGATCGTAGGCTGCGTACCGAGAGTGACTTTTTTCTGATCCTTCAGCCGATTGGTATGCTTGTCCAGAACGAAGTAGAACATTGATCCATCACCAAGTGCGCATAGTAGGTAGACAATACCCTCGAAATGTGCCATCAGAATAGAGCGGGGAATAATTTCTGTCGAGAAAAAAAAATTGGAATTGTCACGAAACACACGAAACGTAGATGGTTCAATAACAGCGTACATACCTCCGCCGAGTTTTTCAGTGTGTACAACTTCCAAGTTAGGCAATCGTAGAATACAAGCAGAAATATCCGTCCATAAACCAACTGCCACCAGTTCTGCGTTGGTGGCATTATCATCCAATGGTGAGATATCCAGACAAGCCACTTCGTAGTCCAGCGTGACGGTACTGTGAAATTTAATACATTAGCATTTCCATCTCATTTGAATACACATACCTTCACTCACCTCTTATGTACCAGCTTGCCGGCTTCGATTTCGATGTAGTAGATGTCGCAGGCAGTAGCACACACCATCTGACAAGAATTACATGCCACCACGCTAATACGCTTATCATCTGGAGGCTTCCATTCGCAAATCATTGATTTGTTGTCACACTGAATCAATCGGGCTGTCATTGGTGTAACCTGAATGATTTGCCCGAAATCCACATTGGCGCAGTAGAATGTTTGCTGATCACTGAGAAAGCCAGGGATTTCAGTTTCCTCAACTTCTTCGCCCGATAGGGTCAAAATACGGGTATGCCCAACAAACGAGAGCACCAACGTATTATCATACGGACTATCGTCGATGCCAACGCGGAGTGCCCACATTCCTTTGATCCCGGGAAGGTCAATACAAGCGTGCTCCTGTATTCCAATTCCGTTGCGAATAATACGCAATGAACCTTCCTTGTAGCTTCCGGAGCACGTAATCATTTGGCCCTGTCCTTGCTTCTCAAGATCCACAATGCACATATCAATAATGGGAGCTAAATTGGTGAATGTTTCCATTACTGTAACATAAGCTCCATTATCGCCTGCCGTGGTGTTTAATTTAATCAGTTGTGAATCGCCATGACGAGATCCAATGAACAGTACTCCATTGTCCAAATATGTGATACACTCCGGGATGGTGATCTCTCCGAGCAGTTCAACTTTGATATCTTTTACGCTTAGGTGACCTTTACCGTTTTCCTCCGTTTCGAGGAACATCATGAACAGATGCCCAATCATGTTACCTGTAATTGAAAATAATATGTGTCCCAAATTTCAACCAATAGCAGAATCAACCATACCCAACAAATAACGGAATCCCTTGCTATCGACTCGGGCATAGCAATTGATGGTGCTCTGCTTTATAATCGCCGGTGCTACAGCCACATAGCTATCACCATCATGATAAACGACCGACTCTTGCCCGATCACAATCGCTCCTCCAAGCGGGGTTGGCACTGGAATCAACATGGTCGCTTCCGTTTCAACATTGTCTTGCTTCCAGGCGATTTTGGTAAAATCTTTATCCTTCAGATTGATTTCATGGGTCTTGATGTGCCGTCCATTCAAATCCTGGTGGATAACAACCAACGTCGGATGCTGAGTTCCGTACAAAAATTCGACATCCTGTACGTGTACTTCCTCCATGCGCAAACTGGTGGCCTTCAGTTCATGGGTATCTCGATCTAGTGGGATGATTTTGAACAAACCTTCATACAGCCGCATACCGATGACACGTGCCTTCGGATCGATAACGGCCAGAATGCCAGTCTCGGCCGGTTTGCCGACGCGGTCGGCTACGTTGCCATGCGCTTTAGTGATAATTTCGATGTCATCGCCTTGAACGACACATTCCAAAATCATCGCATTGTACCGATGGGTCAAGATGAAGATGAGGTCCTTCAGGGCTTCCTGAAGGGGGAAAACACAATGAAAAATTCAAATTTGCATTAGGCAGTGGCGTCTCGTGGGTTTAAAAAGTGGCTGTGCACTGTTTTGTTATTCTTACTGCTAGAATTACGCAAGGCATTCGTCAATTTAATCCCCACCAAAATTTTAAATTTATTAGGGGAAAATCGGTAAAGACAGACACAACTGCGCCGGTGGTGTAGTGTTAAGCGTGATTGCCTCTCACCCCAGCAGGCCTGGGTTCAATCCCAGTCGGCGCCGCAGGGATGTTATGAGACATAACAACTCTGATCACGGGAAGGGAAGTAAAGCCGTTGGTCCCCGGTTCGTGAGTTGATGGGTCGATAGGTAGGGTCCAGATGTGGGAGCTGCTTTCTTGGAGTCGGTATACATTTAGAACAACAGCTTTTAAACATAAACTAAATGAAGAGGTTTGTTAATGCTAAAAGTATGCAGTGCTTAAGTTACTAAGTTTTGATTTGAAACAGCAAGTAGACAATTGCATCCTGCTGTGTCCGTCTATACCGACTTTTTCCTATAGATTGTAATTGTAATATATTGTTCAGTGCAAATCCCGTGCCTTCCACTAAGTTGACGTATCTAGGGACCAACCCCAGGTCTATGCATCTACCGTCCTTTCAGCGACTCTCTCAGTACCATTGTTGTAGTTCTGACTCCAAACCAGAGCACAATATTCTAGAATCGAGTGTACCAGGGAGCAATACAGTGACTTGAGGCATTAGATGTCGGAGAAATTCTTAGCTGTTCTGAATATAAAGCCCAATGTCCTTGATGACTTGTCTACGACGTAGAAGATGTGTTGCTTGTATGTAAGTTGAGAGTCCAGTAGTGGAAAATAACTGGTTCTTTCTTTCGAGTAAAGGTGATAGCAGGATTCACCGTCATTCGGTTCAACTGGCACCAGCTGTCAAATGCTTCAAACTTAAGTTGGAGGAATTGACAATGATCGATCGAGCGGATCCGCAAGTTGATTTTGAGATCGTCTGCATACGATAGTCGTGGACCTTCGATAACTAAATTCACATCATTGAAGTAACGTAAGTAGATCAACGGTCCCAGATGGCTTCCTTGAGGTAGTGCTGACGAAGCTGAGAAAATGTCGGACTGGCAGTCACCATAGGTTAACTGACGATCGGCGAGACATGAGCGAAACCATCTCAAGCAATTTCCGCTAACCCAGAGTCCATCCAATTTGGCGATCGCAATGGTGTGATTGATCTTATCCAAGACAGCAGACAAGTCAGTGAAGATGACGTCAGTTTGTGACGTTTCAACTATACTTTGCGTGATGTACTATGTCAGACACAGTAGATTCGTTGTAGTAGATCGACCGGAGATGAAGCCATGTTGATCTTCGCTTAGATACTGCTTGTAATAGGAGAGCAGATGCTCTATGATGACTAACTCGAATAGCTCCGAAATTGCACATAACGATGTAATTCAACGATAATTATCCACGCCCCGTTTACTACCCTTTTTATATACAGGGAACATATGCGTAAATTTCCAGTTTGATGGAAACATGCCATACGAGATGGACAATCGGAACAGATGTTGTAGCGGTGACAGTAAGTTAACGATATGCTTTTTTTCAGAAAGACTGAAGGAATACCATCCGGACCAGGGTTGAAGGAAGGCTTTAGTTTTAGTGCGGCAGTCGTTATCACTTCGGCGTTGATAACAATTCCACCCACAGCCTGACCGGAAAGTGGGACGTTGCTCGCTGCTAGGGTCACGTATTTGTTGGTTAAGCTCTCGTCAGATAAGACACTTACAAACTTGCTGGAGAACAAGCGACAGACCTCCTGTGGAGTGGAAGCGACTTCGTCGTTCAATATCCTGGATGATGGTAGACCGAACTCTCTGCGCTGCTCTTTCACGTGCTTCCAGAAAGACTTCAATTGCGACTTGAACGATAATGTTCCCAGCTCGTTGGTGGTGCCACAGCTCTGGTAGAAAGTAGCCGCTCGATGCCCGCTTTTCCATACTTTTTGTCCCGTCCAGCAAAGTTCCTGCAGTGCTACGACTTCGAAGTTGCGTGGTTGTAGTTCGTCATAGATTAACCTATCGCAGCCCGGGAAGCCGAACGATTTGCAGTTCCATGTTCCGAGTTTCCAATCGTAGTCCATATTTCGTCGCGTAGGTCTGTGCCGATTGCTCCGATCCGTATTTCTTTCTTCAGTATTTGCATGTTTTTTCCAGGGCGGCTTGTTGGGCTGCCCCAACCCCGTCTCGCAGGGGGACCATCGTGCTCAGCTCTGTTTAGAGTCCAACGCTGGCACTAGGAACGTGATCAGCCGCTCCTAACATGGAGAACAAACGCCGTTTTGAGCCGCACCTCCATGGTGAGCAGACGCTCGGGTTTGGTGAAGAATTTCCTCTATCACCGTCACCGTACTATAGTTACCGCGAGAGATCCATGTACCATTATGATTGATTATTTGGTTCTATATCACTGGGTTGAGTCCTAATGATGGATTAAGCAATTCTAGGAAATACAATATAGTCAAGAAGTAACAAGCTGCAAAGGCCGTGAAGTCCAACTTAATTCCTAATTCTTAAAAATATATCACGGAATCTCTGACGCAGCGTCTCGCGTGCCAAGTGAAAATCAAATAAAGAAGCAACACGATTGAAAACCCTTTGTATCCCATTGATAGCACCATACGAACTATAGTTTGTACTACGAAAAGGTATCCTCAGCATTGCGTTGTTACGGAGTGCTCGTGGTTGAACATTAACGTCGATTTGTTGTAGAATAGAAGGACAATCGATTCTGCCCTGTAGAATGTCTGCCACAAACAGGGCCCTTGTCGTATCTCTTCGACTCCACAAAGGATCCAGGTGAATTAACTGGCACCGACTTTCGTAGCTTGGAAGGCAATCGTCGAAGGGCAAACCAGATGAATCGTCGTTGAATAGACTCTAGGTACTCTTTGTACACTATTTTGGAAATTGGGATTCCATACAGGGCAGCAGTATTCTAACACAGACCGGACGGGAGCAGTAAAGCGACTTCAAACAATAGATGTCCGTGAAGCTTTTAGCTATCCTGAAAATGAAGCCGAGCGTTTTGAATACCTTGTCGATCACGTACGAGATATGCAGGCTGTATGTGAGTTTACAATCTAAGATGACTCCCAGATCCTTAATGTGATTCACACGATGTACGTCAACGCCTTCTAGGATATAACTGAATGTAATTGGATGTTTCTTCCATGAAAACGTGATTACTGAGCATTTTGGTGGATTTACAACCATGCGGTTCAGAGTTGGCACCAATTAATCATTTTGTTCGAACATTTTCCACAGAGATGGCGCTGTTCCGCTGGTAGGAAGTGATGAAAATCCCTATATAAAAATTGAGAGAAGTGGGAATAATTCGCTTTCGGTGCATATTCAGGTCAAAAAAGTGAACGACAACCTAAAGAAATTAATCAGGGACTTTGTAGTTCAATTTTTTTTCCCGGAAATTGTTTACTACAATTAAATAAAAACTGATTTTCCCCCATACTTTACCTGATTTACTACCAGCTCCCAGAGAGCCAAAAAATTCAAATTTGAGAGAGAAAATTTGCTCTCACGACCTCAATCTCTCAACATACCATGTATTTTGTTGAAACTCGATTTGTGATTTCCCTTTCACAGATTACAAAACAGAGTACCTGACACTACAAAACATGCCTGGTACCTCTATATATGCATTTACTTTAACATTTGAAATCCCTCCTTTTTTACATATTCTGCGCAAAAGATACTTTATGCCCCGCCCCATACATAAAATTCGCGGGAAATTCTGTGAGGGGTGAGCTATTTTGTGTGCAGAATGTGTAAAAAAGGAGGGACTTCGAATAATAATCTAAATGCATATATAGAGGTACCATACATGTTTTGCACTGCAGTGTCCTCTGTGAACAATTATAGGAAAACAGATTGTGCCTAGTTTCCGATAGATGTCACCGCAAACAACACCTGTGACATCTGATGGAACATGAATGGAACGAATTCAATATCGTTGTCTGCGTATTGCTCTTGGCTGTATGCACTCAACGCATAACATGAGTCTCGAGGTTCTGGCAGGAGTAACACCCCTCCAGAACCGTTTCTGGGAGCTCTCTCTCAGAATACTAATCAAATGCGGAGTGACGAACACACTTATAGTTGAAAATTTTGAAGAAATTCTTGGGCTGAACACACAATCTCGATTTATGAGAATCTACCACCACTATATATCGTCAGATATGTGTCTTCCTTGTTACACTCCAGACCGTGCTCACTTCACCAATCGCAGTTCGTCAATTGAATATGATCTGACCATGAAACAAGCAACTCATGGGATTCCCGGTCAACTTCGACCTATTATTATGCCGCGTATTTTTACTGAAAAGTACCAACACGTCAATTGCGTGAACAGATATTTTACAGACGGGTCTCGTCTCAGTGGATCCACTGGCTTCGGTGTCTTCAATGAAAACTCTAGCGCCTTCCGCAAACTCCAGGAACCTTGTTCCGTTTTTGTTGCTGAGCTGGCAGCAATCAACTTCGCATTGGGGATGATTTCCGACATGCCCGCAGACCATTACTTCATCTTCTCGGATTCGGTCGATGAAACAAGGTAGGCACTCATCTTATTTCCTTTCAAAGGTAAGGGAGCAGATGTGTGTGCTGGTCGAAAGATCATATATGATTACCTTTGTATGGGTCCCCTCACATTGCAAAATCCCAGGCAATGAGAAGGCGGACTCTCTCGCAAAGGTGGGCGCGCAGGAAGGCGAATTTTATGACAGGCAAATTTCACACGATGAATCTTACCATTTAGTGCGTCAGAGTACCCTTTCGAGTTGGCAAACCGATTGGGACACTGGAAATCTTGGACGGTGGTTACATTCAATTATTCCTAATGTTTCTTCGAGAGCGTGGTTTAAAGGCTTGGACTTAAGTCGTGACTTCATTCGCGTGATGAGTAGACTTATGTCCAACCACTACTCGCTAGATGCTCAGCTCAATAGAATAAACCTCGTGGACAAATAAAGACGCCGCCAGAGAGCGACTTTTGAATACCCTTGAGGCCCAAGGAAGACAACCCTATGTTCCTATCAGAGACGTGTTGGGAACTCGCGATATCTGCTATATGCAGTCGGTTTATGTGTTTCTTCAAATGTCTAGTATAAGAATTTAATTCCTTTTTCTTTTGTCTCTCTTTATTAGTTTTTATTTGTTTTGTCCCCCCGTCGCGATGAGCCTCATCGTCGTCCACTGGTCACCATAGCCGGTCGAACTCCAAACGAAACTAGAACCGCACCACCATTCATACTGGCGACAACACTCTGATGAAACCTTACCCCCAAGCTCCTCCCCTGATCCTATCCTTCGACAATGTACATCTCTAACCTCGAGTAAGGCGCGAGTATTCGACCCAACTCCTACTAGACATAGAATTAAGTGAATTTTGTTACCATCAAAGAACAATGAACTATCGGCTCCGTAAACCTAACGCGATTGAGCCTACCAAATAAACGAACTAGTTAAAAAAAAAGCCATGGAACAAATCGCTACGCCTAGGTTGATTTTGGGAGAGCGCAATGGTCACCATCAGATCTGGGGATCTCCTGCGTCAGACACGCGGGGAAATTCTATTGTAAATTCAACTGCAATGCATGACATGATCATCCTAAACAACGAATCACCTACAAACCTCCGAGGGCGGACTGAGACTGCTATTGATATCTCCCTAGCAAACCGCCTATTTTGGCTATGTTATGATGACCCCATGGGCAGCGACCACCGACCAATCGAAATCTTAACGAACGATCACCCTCCAAAAACTACACGTCGATCACGCTGGCGTTACAATATGGAGGACTGGGCTACTTTTGACATTTGCATGGATGCATACTTGGACGAAAACTCACCTTCCAGTATCAAGGACTTTCTAGAGTCAATCCACTGGACCGCAGAAAATTCTATCCCATGGACAAGCCCAAATTCTGAACGGCGAGCCCTCCACTTGGTGGACTGCAGAAACACGATCGGCAATTGAAGCAAGGAGAAAAGCAATACGAGCAGTTAAAAGACTGGGGGGCATCCAGGAAAAAGTGAACAATACAGCACTCAGAGGAACCGTACGAGACGCTAAACGTCACATCTGGGAGAAATTCCAGTCAGCTACAGAGCTCTGGAGTAAAGTAAACGCCGTAAGTGGAAAAGGAAAATCAAGGAGAAAGGCAAATCCGCTGTCAGACTGGAATCTACCGGGACCCTGCGATTGTTGCAGACACCCTTGCGAATTACTTTACTGATCTCTCAGCTGTTAATAACTACAGTGATGCCTTCCTTCGCCGCAACAAAACATGCACGAGCTCCGTAACAACATTCGTAAAACCATCCGATCGGCAAAACTCCTGAATCAATCAACCTTTTACCATGGCGGAGGGGGCGACCTCGGCGTAGTGGTTAACATCCATACCTCTCACGCCAAAGTCACGAGTTCAAATCTCACCCCCGGACAAGTCACGAATGGCCCAAGAGTGTTAAAATGACTATAATAAAAAAAAAAAGAAAAGAAAAACCATGGCGGAATTATCACTTGCTCTCGCTGTTAAGCGGAGAAAATTTAAAGACCCTGATGATATTGGATACCCTATGATAAAGCACCTTCCGAATCGTGGCAAACAAATGCTTCTTAAAAAATTAAATGAATGCTGGCAAAATGACTTCTTCCCAGAACAGTGGCGTCACAGCCTGGTGATCCCCATACCGAAGAACGGATCTTCATCAATTGATCCCAAGGACTTCCGTCCAATCGCATTAACCAGCTGTGCCTGTAAGATTTACGAACAAACATCAACAGAAGACTGACAGGGTACCTTCGAGAAAACAATCACCTGAATCATAGACAACATGCTTTCCGAATGGGCTTTGGTACAGGAACGTACTTTGCTTCTCTCGGCTAGGTCCTCGACGATGCTCTAAGAGACGACTTGCATGTCGACGTTGCCATTCTAGATCTCTACAAAGCATATAATCGTGTTTCCAGAAACTAAAGAAGCTGCAAGAGTTGGGCCTGTCTGGTCACATTCTCAATTCCATCCAAAACTTTCTTATCAATAGAACATTCCAGGTGGCCATAGGAAACACGAAAAGTAAAACAGTTCCTGAGGAAACGGGTGTGCCACAAGGCTCCGTTCTGTCAGTCACACTATTCTTAGTGACTGCCTCACAAGCGGTGTTTTCATTTTTGTATATGCGGACATCGTAATCATACCTCTGTATGGGCAATGTCGAGTCCTCGGTGTTCTCCTCGATCGCCGACTCAGTTTTAAGCCACATTTCACAGCAGTTAGAGAGAACTGTCAGTCTCGGATTCCGCTCCTGCGGGTTATCACCAGTCCCCATCAATGTAATAACCGAGACTTTGCGCTTCGAATCTCACATGCCGTGCGGCCGACTTGATGGTCGCAATGCTGGGACCGGTCTACAACCGGTGTATCAGAACGGTATTATGGCTACTCCCATCCACTTCAGAAAAAGCTGCTTGCATCGAATCCGGTGTTCTTCCCTTTAGACATCTGATGACCTTCGCCACCTTTACCAAAGCAGTTAGCTTTCTTGAGCGCAGCATCGTTGAGAATGAGGGAGTGTTCCTCCTCACGGAGGCGAACAATCTCCTTCGAGACAGAGGTTGGAACTCTCCTCAATTGAACATCGACTGGACAATGAAAAGGAACTTCAGAGCTGGAGAAAACTCTATTCATCTTTACAAAGCATACCTACAAATAATTTCTACCAGGCTTGCCAATCACCAACTCATATTCACCGACGGCTCTAAAGCACTTGGTCACGTAGGAATAGGGTAAGCGGCCCCGATATAACCTACTATCATCGCCTACCTGATACCTGTTCCGTGACGAAGTTGTTGCCATACTTTTAGCTGCCTCTGAAGCTTCATCGTGTCGTACGGCAACCCTCTACGACTCAATGCGGCTTATAACAAACTTTTACTTCCCTAAATACACGGACACTGCGAAATAGCTGGAAACGAAACTGCCGACCATCTGGCGTCAGTCGGTCGTCGAGAGTCAAGTTTATGTTTTAGCATGAACGCTATCAATAGTTTACTCAGCAGATAGCAGCACTCCTGAGATGTTAGTCAACGGGAATTTTGAAAGAATTATCTATCTCATTGAAACAAGAAAAAAGAATGTGTTCACCAAATCAATACACCTCGTTTTTCTAATTACCGTAAATGTTACATACGACCTAATCAAAAAGCAGTTCCGTATTTAACAATTCAAAGTTTTATACTTACATATATTTATACAATGAACTAGAGCAGGAATTGAATAACTAGGACAGGTAATATTGGAATGTATTAATTGCGATTATTACAAATATCATTCACTTGATGGGGTGCTTTTTATTTGAGAGTTCATTAATTGGGTGACGTCCCAACTAAAAAGCATTAAATCCGTCAGAAAATGATGCCAAACTAGCCTTGACATTTCATTGTTGCTGCTTGGAAATGATCTAGTAAGCTGAAAAACCAAACTTTGAGCACTTCAAAACCGTCCCAACTATACAATGACATTAGATGAGATGAGGTAGCGAATGACTATACAAATCAAAATGATGTCAACCGTAGGATGGCGCTCCTAGCTCCATCCTATCCTACACCATTCTATACTAATCTTAATTAACCTCCCGCAAATCCAAATCGCAGCCAAATTATTTCAAATTGGACAGTTGAAGAAAACTTCAATACAAATCGAAAGAGCAGTGGAGAACAGGGGATTGCTAGCCACCATACAAAGATGACCCACTCGTGAAAATGTTAAAAACAAACTACAGTACTCGGACTTACCGCAGGCCGGAACAGCTTCATCACGGCAATCTTTCCATTTATACCGATTTCTTTAATCGGACGTAGCCCCTCCGGGGTAACAAGATAAATTTCCAGCCGGGAACTTTTAGCTACTATCAAATTCAAGTCGGACGATGTCGTGAAGTTTCCTGAAATTAGAACAGTAAAATAGTTCGATGGTATGAAGCCGCTGAGAACCACTTATTATCGTAATGCTTTTATTTTACAGTAAAAAGTGCAACATATTTTGGTCGATACCTAGCTCTCGAATATTTACAATGAACAAAAAGCAACAAAAATATATACAAGAGTGGAAAAGTTCAGGTCTAACCTCGAAAGCATTACGCAAAGAAAAATAAAATAAGAGCACAACGAAGCCATCAGGGGCTCCATCTTTTTCCACTGCTGTCGCAAGTGTCCAGACAGTACCAGCAGAGATTCCGTGATTACTCGTTCGGAACTTACCGGTAACGCAAGCCGTGACTGCCGTCGGCTTCTGGGCGGTCACTATGTAATTATGAGCCATCGCGGAGTCGCGTCCTGGGCCAGCGGAATCGTGTGATGGCTTTTTTTAGATGCAACTGTTCACGTTTTGTAGGCGCATTTGCAAAAGGAAAAACAGTACAAACTAGCATTGTGCGATCTTGGATGGATTTTCAGTGAATCGATTATTTTGGAAATGAATGTCAACCAGCGTTGCCAGAACTTTCGGTAAAGCGGCATTTCTACCGATTCTTGCCCTACATCCGCATAGAACAGTATCATTTCTTAAACAGTTCAAACTTCACTGACATCTTTCTAAGTAGCTATATATATATAAGTTATGGACCACCCATCAGCAACCATCCCAACATCAGAAGACATCACCCATCGGTTGGACTCAATTCAACGAAACCAACAGCAAGTGGCCTTAGCATTGAATTCAATTGCGCGGCCATCATCTCCAGGCAAACTCAACGTCTCAGCGTAGTACGAATGGGGACGTCGACAACAACAACAACAACAACAACAACAACAACAATAGCAACATCATCAGTAACATGCTTCAGCCCATCGGCACCCCGATGACCACGAAAGCATGCACCAGCATATCACCAAGAACGCCAACTCAGCAGCAGCTACAGTGACGACGACGATCACCACATGGCAACAGCAACATCGATGCAACAAGACACCGCATGGTAGCAGGAGTAGACAGTACATAGATAATAATTAGATGTAAGCATTTTTGCAGGAATTGAAGCTCTTTTGTATTTCAAAGTAAATTCAAATTGACGCAATAAAAATCATTCCAGTTTTAGTCGTAGACGTGAGCAGTAGTTCTTTTTAAAAACACCCCGAAGTCCTTAGGAGACATAATTTATATATGCGCGATAGAAAGGTTGCTATTCGTAGAAATGTCAAAATGCTCACTACCGGTACGGACTACGGCGATAGCAGCGACCGGCGTGGAGAAGAGTGGCTAAACTAAAATGAGAGCGCTGTGCGCTGTTAAAATAGTCACGCAAATGACAACGACCGTTACGGTTGCTCTTAATGATTGGAAAATTGGCTGGATGGTTGGTAGATTGAAGGTTACTGTTTTTATTTATTCTGTAATGTGAATACTTCCAAATTTATTATGTTGTATCGAGCCGTACAGGTTCTAATCGAAGAGCACTCGAAATGGATCGGATAGTCCGAAAATACCCGACATACACAGCAAAAAAGTTGTTGAATATTACATCGAAACTGCTGGAACCAGGTCAATCCATCGGTTGTGTAATATCAAATTGTACGATGTACATCGATCTGCTTTTTGCTTTTACATCATTACCCTAATAAAAATTGTATGGTTAATTTGCTTAACTACGTGTTCTGGGTATCATCCAAACCATTTGTGGAATAGTTCAATGATTTGGGTTATCGTTCGTTTATGGTTATTTTTTATTAGGGTATTTCATACATCAGTTTGAATTACGTTGATCGATATCACATTTTTTTTTGCTGTGTATAACACCGCTATCGGCCGAACATTCAGACGTGATGGATTTCACCCGGTCCGGACGGGACCGATTTTGTCCGGCCCAAAGGGAGCCGGTTTTCGTTTCGCACGGCCAATCGACTAGCCAATCGAAGATCTTCACAGATGTAAACATGGATGGTGCACATCAAAATGTCCAACGGATCCATACAACTTTGAACATTGAGCAGTATTCGTGCCCGAGGTCGTGCCAGAGAAGTGAGGAGATTTTGGTGTATCAACCATTTTGTTCAAAACATCCATCAGCGATCTGGGATCGAGTCCGGGATCTCGTTGCAAAATGTAGAGTTTGCTGATCTATGCCAAGAAAAGGGAGTGATCTGCATCAGTGCATCTGAGGTGCTGTCTAGATTTGATTTTTGAATGAATGCATTAAATTATATATATTCGTTTCCACAATAACGTTCGTTCTTAAATTTAAAAACGGAAAATTATTTCATTGCTCACATTCTAACTCCCAACGTTCATTTCGCTCGATAATCAAGTAGGTTGTTTTCACCCATTGAATCCCAGATCGAAAATACCAAAATTTGAGTATCTCCAGTTAACTCAATTTTGGCTAGCCTCACGGAAGTATATATAGTTGCTATATTCATAGTCTGGCGGATAGAACCTCGGGAACCAATTTAACGAGCAAATCACGACCAACAATAGAAAACCCACATCAAATTTGTATGGTTATTTTTCTTGGAATAGTTCAACCAGTTGGGTTATTGTTCATTTATGGTACGCTACGATCATTGAACCGAGTCTCGATAAGAGTAAGGAAAGTGAACGAAGTTGTGATTAATTTTCGAGAGAGTGTTAATGCTCGGATTCAGATCTAGGTTGTCCATTCGTCATCTTGCCAGATCCAACTATGTTTACTCAATTTTTGGGTAGCCCTGATTTTGACGGATATGACTACTCAAATTTGGTAATAGCGTATTTAGCATTCAGACAAACATAATAAATAAATAAAATTTGCTTTTTATCCGCTTAAATTGTTTGTAGGGCTAGTTGTATGGTTACTGTATCATTACTCTATATTTAAGAATATTTTTACAATGGAAATGTGTCTTTCGTTTTGAGGAATTTCACGTAAGCGTGAGTACACTCAAAAATATTAGTAAACAAAGAAAGTTTTAAATTTAATCATTTAATGTTTTAACAATGTTTATACATTGATTTGATTAAAATTTATTTTAAAATTATACTAAGTCCGAATAACAGCGAGAAATTTGATAAGGGGTGTATACCGCTGATTTAGTCTTTGACAAGAGTTCAAATATTTAACAACAGAATATCAACATCTTACTGATGTAAGTTCCGAAAAACCATAAGTGAAAAGCGGGATGTGAGCATCGAAATCCGAGTCGAAATCCCAACATCTGTGCTGGGAAATTTATAGCTATGACTTGTTCCAGATATGCTTGACTATTGGTTCGAATCCAGTTCGATGTCCTTCTTCCAGAACCACAATCGAATTACTGCAGATTTCATGCGCAACAATTTTGATTCGATGAACCTGTTCAATATGCACTTGTTCAAACATTTGAACTGAACCGCGGGCTGGTACTGTCTGGTGATAAGCAGAAGATGAACAATTGCAAAGATTACTTCCCAGATGCAATAGAGGTTGTACAGAAGTATGGTGCAAATGTGCTGCGGAACAACTCACTGGTGGTTCGCGCGAATAATTGCAGGTAAGTTCCCGGAAAAAAAAATAACCATACAATAACCATAAAATAATATAAAATCACAACACAATCTATTGCCAACAATCGATCCTATTGTATGTATATCATACAAGTAAATTTAAAATATTGTTATTACAATAGATCTACAATACGTTCCATAGAGCATGAATTTTCAACAATAGAAAAACAATAAAATTAATGGTAAATGACTCAAGTTTATTCGGGAAAAAGTGATTTTCTGTACGGTTAAGATACATAACAACCCCCTTGTTCTATTGTAGATTTCCACATTTACCATAGATTCTATTGTGGAAATTATAAATTCTATGGTTGTTTTATCGTTGCTGACAATAAAATTTATTTTAAGTACAATAAATTCTATTGTATGGTTACAATACATTTCATTGTACCTCTATCGTACTTTTTTTTTACGGGTTAATATTACTGTTAAATTTAACATATGCATTACTTCGTTCATGGCACGTCCTGTGGTATTCCTTAACGAGAATACCTATGGGTGAATAACTGCTTGCAGTTTTGAAGTTGTAGTGAATTAAATGCTTCCGTCATGCTCATCACACGAATGAAATTATTCCCCTCTCCAACTTCCCATTTCCAGGGTAGAAGATGTAAAAGACATCATCAAGGACGTCTGCTTACCGTAGTAGAACGCATTCTGGTTCTTGATACAGAACATCGGTCACTATGAGAAGGACGATACATCGTGTGCCTAGCCGAACACATCTCCAACAACGTGATGGACGTTTGGATGACTTGGTTCAAGAAATTCTCACGCCCGGTGATCGATTTGGATGATGATTTTGTGTAAGCGAACTCGGAGCATCTGAACTAAGCAAGCAACGAACTCCTTTACGGTACATAAAAAAGGGAACGCCGGACTATATGGTCGTGTCTCGAACGGCCGGTTGCAGCTCAAAGAAATCTGGATCGTAAAAGTAGCTGAACTGCAGTGTGCGTATCAAATCCAGGTTACAGGACAGGAGGATTATGTATGATAGTGATTTTTGGCTTTTCAGTGGACGGACGGAGTATGAGAACCTCGTCGATTAGCAAAAGTTGGTGCTGGAGTTAATACGGCGGAAAGCATCAAGCGGTTTTCAATTTAGATGATGTAATTTATTTGTAACTTAATTTAATGTAACTTATGTTAAAAATAAAACTGATGAGCATTTAACAATATTGCTTACACTTCAATAACAAATCCAAGACAATCGAAAGTACAGCAATAATAGATTTGCCAAATAGAGCCCCATTAAGCATCATTCGCATACTTGCACATTATACATTGGATGTATAATCGATTTTTATACTAAGTTCGTATTCTCTCTCTTTATACCTAGCTACGAGCCTAGCTATGCGTCGGTCGGGAGAGTTGCGATTTAGCGTAGCTTTTATACTATTTAGATTTGAAAAATTTTTGAGTGTATATTTACAACAATCGATTTCTTCAACAAGGTCGCGCAATCCTGGTATCTACACAGAAATTCAAAACAACCCAAAATTAAGTTCTTTTCACTCATCTCCCATGTTCCGTACGATAAGCCAAATTTGGGTAAACCGTCTCAAAGTAGTTTGCATTTAAGGACGGCAAAAAAAATTACCCATCGCTAAGTTATTTTCCATTTTTTCTACCCAAAATTAAGTTCAATTAACTCAAATTTGGGTATATCGCATATTACTCAATTTTGGCTTCTCGTACGGAACTAGACGGTTGAGTCGAATCTTTCGTTCTATTTTTGACAACAATAGCGAGAGGAAATGAAACGGGCAGAGGTCAAATAACTCAAATTTGAGTTTAAAAAACCCAAGCGGTGGGTAGTTTTGTTTTTCTGTGTACGATGCGACCATTCCCTCGGATAAAAGTATTGGCGTTGACGGCGACTCTGTAGCTCTTTACTCCTATGAGAAAATCCATAAGCAAACGTCAGACTGTGCGTGAAACATGGTGGACTTTGTACTACCCTTTCACTCCAATGAAAATTCCCATAAGAAAGTGTCTAAATTTGCTGGAAGAGCAAATTTTTCGACGGTGCCGTCAACGCCAATTGATGAAAAAAAAAATCCGAGAACACCGAATCAACAAAAACCGGATTGGGATCGCTTATTACTAATCAGACAACTGGAAATTGAATTTTTGTACGAGTTGCAAAATTTATTTATATATTCCGCTGTAAAATGGTATTCAAGTGCCAGGAAGACAGTTTTCTTCGGAAGTTTACCTCCAAGGTGGTTTCCTGTGAAAAGGTCGACAGCGGATTCAATGTCATTTTCGAAGACACGGTGTTGTTCCCGGAAGGTGGCGGACAGCCAGCAGACTCCGGTTGGCTAAATGGACGTGAAGTTAGGAATGTTGTCCGCAAAGGACCGACAGCAGTACACTTCTTGGAAGGAGAGGAAGTACCTTTCCAAATCGGGGAGGAAGTGGAGCAGCGAGTGGATTGGAAACGTCGCTTCGATCATATGCAGCAGCATTCTGGCCAACATCTGATAACTGCAATTTTCGATCGGGAATTTGGTTTTGGCACGAAATCCTGGTGGCTTGGAACTGATGATTCCTATGTGGACTTGGACACAAAAGATGTCACCAAGGAGCAGCTGGAAAAGGTGGAGAAAATCTGCAATCAGCTGATAGTGGATTGTACGGCAGTAGATGTTACAGTTTATCAACCTGGCGATCCTGTGCTCCAATCGGATGGTACTCGAACCCGTGGCCTTCCGGAAGACGTCAGTGGCCCAATTCGAGTGATAACTATCGATGGAGTAGAGAGCAACATGTGTTGTGGGACACATGTTAAAAATTTAGCTCAGCTTCAAGCGATACAATTTTTGAACGTAGAAAAAAGTAAGAGCAAATGCCTTGTTCACTTCCTGGTTGGAAACAGGGTTCTGAAAAAGCTTGACGAATGCTACAAGCGAGAGGTTAAACTAAATAACCTTTTAAATGGTGGACCAGCTTCTCACATTGATCTCATAATGAAACTTCAGACAACGGTTAAAAATTCACAAAAAGTCTGTAAAAAGTTTACAACCGAACTTGCTGCATTGGAAGCAGAGAAGGTAAACTCGTTGGTTCCGAAGCCACTGTACTACTTTGTTCACCGCTTGGATGGAATGGATTCGGATTTTATTTTCACATTCTTGCGAAGTGTTAATCTACCCGAGTGTTTCTTCTTTTTGACCAACGGTGATGAAACTCGGAAAGGTCAAATGGTGCTGCAAGGACAGGCGAAGGATATTGCCAAAATTGGAGATGCCATTTGCAAAGCACTGGACGGAAAGGGTAATGGAAAGGGCACTCGATATAATGCCAAAGTTAATAATTTGAAAGCCATCGCGGAATGTGAACGCATTGTCAAGGAACACTTCGAAGTAAACAATGGCTTCCAAACGGAGTAAGCTAATTTTGTGTCATCACTTCTTCATCTGTTCCAAAAAACTACTCTGCTACAAGCAACGGAACATGAACATATTACTAGTGTGGGTTATGCTATTTCAACGTACTTTTATTCAAACTATTGTTTTTGATGCGAGTGATTAATACACGAAAACCAACTAATCGCCAATCTTCAAATTATTTAGTTCCTCGATGACATCTATGTGCTTGAATTGGTCTGGTTTATGGGTAAATAATTCCAGCAGTTTCAACTTGGATTCGTTCTGCTGACTGTAGTACATCTGTAGCTGATTTGCCAAGCATTGCGCTTCCTGGCCGTTGATCACCTTAGGGTCGTATTCTCCTCGCATTAGGACCAATCCTTTGCTTTGCTTAAGTTCCGCGTACATTGCAATGTTCAAACATTCCGGAGCGTTTTCTTTATGGACCTGCAATTTCAAAAAATGTATTCGCTACGTTTTCTCTCAAACAAAATGCATTGTGCAAGCAGAATCAGTTACCTGATAGTTGATCAACGGCGTAAAATGAATCGTATTAGCAAAGAATTGCAGCATCATAAACTCATATCCCTGGCTTCTAGGGATTGGCAAAATAAAAACAGGAAACTTCTTCGCTCGTTCCATCATCAAATCGTACTGCTTCAAGGGGATGGCTGCACAAATTACTTCTTTTCCCTGATGGTACTGCAGCCAAATTTGCTTGATTTCTTCTACACTTCGGTGCTCCACCAAATCAAGCTTCATGATATCACTGAGCTTCTTGTAAGCGGCATCTTCCTGTGTTTTCGCTCCCAATGGAGCCTTTGGGTTCAACAGGCCCGAGTAATCGCGTGCTGGTTCCAATGGACCAACAGTTGCTTTGGTTTTCTCCTTCTCTACACTCTTTAATTTGGCCAGGAATTCTTCCGGAGAGCTTTGCTGCACGGCGGAAATTTTCTTTGCGTACTTTCCAAAAAACGGATTAGAATCCTTCAGCTGCTCCAGGACTTTTTCCGAGCGTTGACGGGCAGTCATTCTGAACGATCGGAAGGTAGCTACGGCGGGTATTTGATTGAGGGCGATCACGCGTAAACACTGTTTTCCCGGTCGAATCCAAAGCAGGGCCATTGGCTGGTACGGCGATAATCAAATCAAAATCAAATCCGGTCCGGTTTTGAGTCACGGAAGAGTTTTGTCTACTCCTGTGCGTGTGCGCCGCAACTCAAAAAAAATCAGCGGAAATTGATTACGGAATCATAACAAGGCAAAATATTTATTTTTGACGTTTTCCGAACCGTCATCAGAGCTGCCAGGTGGTTTTATAAAAAATCTGTATCCACTCTATTAAAAAATCTGTATTTTCTGTATTGACGATTTTTTTCTTAATTAATCATGTTTTGTTGTTTTACAAATACAGTGCATACAAAATAACCATAAAAAGTGCTTAACCACCTATTTGGGCTATCGTACTAACCATACGGGATATAATTGCGCCATTTGTGATATCGTCCGTACTTATTTATAAGAGTGATAAGAAGCCGTTTGAAAATGTATGGAGATTTTAGTTTCTATACATTATCTTCCTGATAAGCAGTTTTAAATGCAAAAAAGTGCACGAGTTCATTACTATTTGATATTTTTAATATAGATGAATACAATTAATTACATCATTTGTGTGGTAGTTACACCGAAAAGTCGAGAGATGTCGCCCCGCCAGTGCTGGTAAAATAATTTTTGTAGTATGGAGAATATCAGAAATTCCGCAATTTCTTACGAAACACATTTTCAATGCAAGTAAAATGTTTACGAGTACTTGTATTTGTACCATTTTAATGTGCTTGGGCACTTTTCTTGTATTTAACATACATGCTTATATTGGAAATATTCAATTAATACTGTAAATCCCCATACAATCTCAAATCGTTTACAACCAGCTCCATATGTATCCGAAAGCGGTTGGTCCTCTGGTTGTGAATGCTGTCAAAAACACCATAACATGATTAATTGTCGATGGAAATTTGATAGGTTCCCGAGCAGAGGGTGAGAACAAAATGAAAACAAGAATTATGTTGTTTTCATTATTCCTGATAACTCAAATTGAATTCATTTTGATGGAGTTGATGGCTAACAGAACAAAAATGAGAGCTAAAAGATATGCGAAAAATATCAAAATTATAACATATATTGATATTAGTGAGAACTGCTTGATAACTTATTTTGATATAGATATTTTATTTAGATTACAAATTTAGTTATCAACATGTTATTACATGCATGCCGAAAAAACAAAATTAAAATACATCAAATTTTGATGTCATCATAAGTTATTAAAAGGCAGCTATATAAACGTACAGTGGAATCGGGCGTGACTGCGTTTTCCGTTGGAGGCAATGAGAGAAGCATAAAGGAAACAGCAACGCCTCGAGCAGATCCCACTGCAAAAAATATGGTTTTTAGCACAACAATTAATTTTGGAGAGAAGGGGGTACGCTGATAAAATCGAGCAAGTTATTTTGTTTTTATAAATTTTGAATTTTTTTTTTATCAAGCATTTTATAAAAATCTGTGTAAATCTGTATTGTAATTTAAAAATCTGTGATAAATCTGTATTCTGTATCGGGTCTGTATTAAGATTAAAAAATCTGTATAATACAGATAAATCTGTATAAATGGCAGCGCTGACCGTCATCATCAATGATTGATTGTCGTTATACGGTAAGGAAAAAATACACAATCGCAAGTAAATTTTAACCTACTTGTTTATGGATTGATATAAAGATTTAGGGTTCTACACACACCAAATTTCATAAATCTAGTTCGGTACTTATTTTTGCTGGATTGGGTCTGTAAAATACAATTTTAACCGAAAGCTTTGTAAAAAATATTGTTTTACCAAATTTCCGCAATCAAAATAGCTGAATTTCCGTAACTGACTGAAATTTACCATAAACTGTAATTAAAAATTACTGATTAAAACTGTAAATGGCTGAAATTCCGCAATACTGTAAAAATTGTGACGAATGAACTGTAAACCCAATATTTTACAAAAAACAAACAGTAACTGCTGTACGAGATTTTTGTAAAAATTACTGAACATTTGTAAACTTCATAATATCAAACCCAACTTGTGCTGCCATTTCTAAGATGAGTTTTCTTCTGTGCTCCGTTGTTAAACGTAAGTATACGTTATAAAATAGGAGAGTAATTATTGTTCCAACGTAATTTTTGAATAGAATGCGTGTTGTGTTCGTTAAGGTAGACGGCATATTTTATTAATAGCGAATTTGTTTATTATCCAGGTTGGAACCAGTTCCAACCCGTGGTAACCCGAGCTTATTGTCAGTGCGAACTTCAACCCGAGCCAGGTTACAAAAACAAACGTTAACACTGACGTTTGAAAGGCAACAAGCAGACCCAATCTTGATACGCGATCTCGTACCCGATCCAGGTTGGAACTGAATCAAAAACAAATTCGCTATAAGCTTCTTTAGTAATGGTTTCGATACGTTGCATTTCCAGTGGCTTTTTTATATCTTTATATCTTTCAGTCGTGGGCGTCCGCGTAGATTTCCAGTTGATGCCCTAATAAACAAATACCATAAATGAACGATAACCCAAACGGTAGACCTATAGACCTTTTTGACGTTTAGTTCCTCACACTCCTTCAGTTTAAATAGTGCATTAGTGTGCGCCGATTATACGTCAAAAAGCTCTATTCTAAAAATGGTTTGGATGATACCATAGAGGTAACCCTAAGACCAGAAGGTCCCGAAGAAACGAGCTCAACTTTTTGGCTCAGCTCTGGTACTATCTTCGGTCCCAAGCTAATCGATTGACCCCTCGAAACATAGGAAAAACCAATAACCCCTCATTTTATCTGTCAAACTTTCATAGCGAATCAAAACAAACATTGCGTAGTACTAGAATTTAGACTAGAATGGGATACGTTAATCGTTTGCTTGGGATCAATAGGCTAGTCAAGTAGTGAGCCAATTTAAAATCGTTAGTTTCGTATTGATTGTTGATGATACTCCGAATACATCGTTCAAGCTGAACATTGCATTAGGTCCTAAGTAACATTGATCAATTGGGTTCTTTAAGGGTATTGAGGTTAATGCATATTCGTAATCTGCATTAGAAATGGAACCCAAACCCAAAATTTCATCAATTTTGGTACACTGGAACTATTATAAATAAAAAGGATTACATTTGCAAAAATCAACTTATTAGCGCCCCTCGGTGTCACTTTGTATAGGAGCGAGCTGTCAGTTTGTCAGTTTAGTGTCAAACAGTGATGTTATTATTTTGCTTTAAATATTGATTTAAAAATCGAGATGAAAGTGTGTGGGTTCGGAAAAAATATCGCTGTGCTCAGAGAACGAAGCTCTTTCAGATGATATATAAAAACCGATACATTTTTCAAAATTAAAGAACCCAATTCTCTTCGTCGACTTTCTCTTTCGTTAATAACTTGAGCACATAACCGTTTCTTGTTATGTTTGTCGTATTAAATGCTATAGAGCTTTTTGACGTTTAATCGACGCACACTACTGCACCATTTAAATCGAACGAGTGCGAGCAAGAGCGAAACAGATTAGTGGGCAAACAAACCGTCCATTCATTCATGTGGAGGTGCGGCTCAAAACGGCGTCTGTTCTCCATGTTAGGAGCGGCTGATCACCGTCCTAGTGCATGCGTGGGACTCTAAAAAGGGCTGTGCACGATGGTCCCCCGGCGAGACAGAGGGTTGGGGCAGGCCCAACAAGCCGCCCTGAAAAAAAAAACAAAGTTGCAAATACTGAAGAAAGAAATACGAATCGGAACAATCGGCACAGACCTACGCGACGAAATAAGGACTACGATTGGAAACTCGGAACATGGAACTGCAAATCGCTCGGATTCCCGGGCTGCGATAGGTTAATCTATGACGAACTTCAACCACGCAACTTCGAAGTCGTATCACTGCAGGAACTTTGCTGGACGGGACAAATGGTATGGAAAAGCGGGCATCGAGCGGCTGTGGCACCACCAACGAACCGGCTTTGTAGTGCTGGGTAAGATGCGCCAACGCGTGATTAGTTGGCAGCCGATCAATGCGAGGATGTGCAAGTTGAGGATTAAGGGCCGTTTTTTCAACTACAGCATCATCAACGTGCACTGCCCACACGAAGGGAGACCCGACGACGAGAAAGAAGCGTTCTATGCGCAGCTGGAGCAGGTGTACGACGGCTGTTCGCAACGGGACGTCAAGATCGTCATCGGCGACATGAACGCTCAGGTAGGACGGGAGACAATGTATAGACCGGCAATCGGGCCAAACAGCCTGCATGCCGTATCGAACGACAACGGCCAACGATGCGTGAACTTTGCAGCCTCTCGAGAAATGGTAGTTCCACAAACGAAGTGACAGACGACTAACTGGCGAAGAAATCCATTTAAATAATGTGGTTCACTGTAATAGTGCCATCATCCACCAGATGGTCTAGTTTTTTTGTTTTGATTTGAACAAAGTTGATTTCGTGAACAATGATTCTTTGACAGTGTGCAAAGAGTGCGTATCATTTTGTCATTTTTTATGCATTTCAGTTTTGTGTAGAGTGAAAGAGATAGAACCAAAACATTCTAGTGCATTCGGTGAAAATTCTAGTTCAATCTAGTAGTAGTGTTGCCATGTGGTACAATCCAGTAGTAGTGGTGTTGCCATGTGGTACACTGAAAAATTGCAATAGCAGGTTAGTCACCAAAGTTTTCGAGCCGCTCCGTCTGTCACTTCGTTTGTGGTAGTTCGAAGTACCTTTTTCCCCCACAAGCATATCCACAAAGCCACCTGGAGATCACCTGACCAACACACAGAAAACCAAATTGATCAAGTTCTAATCGACGGGAAATTCTTCTCCGACATTATCAACGTCCGCACGTACCGCAGTGCGAACATAGATTCGGACCACTACCTAGTTGCAGTATGCATGCGCTCAAAACTCTCGACGGTGCATAACACCCGTTGAAGTCGAACGCCGCGACCCAACATTGAGCAACTACGGGACACCGGAAGAGCAGCTTGGCGCAGCTTCTCTTGAAGATGGCTGGAGGGATATCCGTTCCACCATAGGTAGTACAGGTTCTGCAGAAATGCCCACACATTATTTGTTCATCGATTTCAAATCCGCATACGACACAATCGATCGAGATCAGCTATGGCAGATTATGCACGAGTACGGATTTCCGGATAAACTGACGCGATTGGTCAAGGCGACGATGGATCGAGTGATGTGTGTTGTTCGAGTATCGGGGACACTCTCGAGTCCCTTTGAATCTCGAAGGGGGTTACGGCAAGGTGATGAACTTTCGTGTCTGCTATTCAACATCGCGTTAGAAGGTGTGATCAGAAGAGCTGGGATAGACACGAGTGGCACGATCTTCAGGAAGTCCATCCAGCTTCTTGGCTTCGCCGATGACATTGACATCATGGCACGGAACTTTGAGACGATGGCGGAAACGTACATCAGACTTAAGGCTGAAGCTAGGCGGATTGGACTTGCCATCAACGCATCAAACACAAAATACATGAAAGTAAGAGGTTCTAGGGAAGACAATGTTAGCCTCCCACCCCGAGTTCAGATTGACGGTGACCAAATCGAGGTGGTCGATGAGTTCGTGTATTTGGGCTCACTGGTGACCGCTGAAAACGATACCAGCAGAGAAATTCAAAGACGCATTATGGCAGGGAATCGTGCCTATTTTGGACTCCGGAGGACGCTCCGGTCGAATAAAATTCGCCACCGCACAAAGTTGACTGTCTACAAGACGCTGATTAGACCGGTGGTGCGCTACGGCCACGAGACCTGGACTATGCTCGTGGAGGACCAACGCGCCCTTGGTGTTTTCGAACGGAAGGTGTTGCGTACCATCTACGGTGGAGTGCAGATGGTTGACGGAACGTGGAGGAGGCGAATGAACCACGAATTGCACCAGCTGCTGGGAGAACCCGAATAGAAATTTACATTAGTCCAACGTTTGATTTTGATGTCTACATCAGCATCGAAATCAAATGTATGCCTGATGTCAAACATTAGAAAACATTATGATTTAGTTGTATTTAAGCAACGTAACATGGTGTATACATCAGAAATTTTGGAACAAAATTTTGCCATTCTAATGTCGGTCTGACGTCAAAAATTTCAATCTCTTGACATTAGAACCAAACGTTTTAAGGATGTTTTCAGATGTACAAAGCGTTAGAACTAAACGTTTTCTGATGTTTTCTAATGTAGATGTTTCCTGATGTTAGAAACAAACGTTTTTCGGTTGTTTTCGGATGTAATAAACGTTAGAACTAAACGTTGTTCGGATGTTTTTATATGTAAATGTATTCTGATGTTTTCTAACGTAGATGTCTCCCGATGCTAGAACCAAACGTTTTTTGGACGTTTTCGGATGTACACAACGTTAGAACTAAACGTTGTTCGGATGATTTCAATTGTACTTCGTGTTTGTTGTTCTCTGATGTTTTCAGATGTACAAAACGTTTAAAGTAAACGTTGTTTGAATGTTTTAAAATGTAGATGTTTACTTATGTTTTAAGAAGTACAAACACTAGAATCTTACTTTTCAAATGCTTTCAATTATATTTACAACACATTAGAATTAGAAACATGATCGTGTAAACACTACACACCATTGTTGTTAAGTGAACCCTACACGATTGCTTTTATTGACAATAATCGTATTGTCAATACATGCTATATTGACGTCAATATATCGAGATTGACAATATTTCTGAATTCACATCATCAATATTACTGTCAATAATTCCCCTTCGCGTCAATATATTGATGCGTGTGGGGTTTGCTTTAGATAACATCATAAAAATGCGTACATAACAGTCAATGCTGAAGCTCCCGTTTCCCACCAGTCAGTTAACTGACCTTAGCTAACCTAATGTCATTGCGGCAACTCTCTATGCGGCAGGGGAACTATGCCATTAACCATCCATAGTCCACATTGCAAAAATTGGGCGACTACGGTGGGCTGGGCACGCCGCACGACGACCCAGTGAAAATGGTTCTAGAGAGCGACCCAACAGGAATAAGAAGAGGCGCGCAGCGGGCAAGGTGGATCGACCAAGTAGAAGGCGACTTGCGGACCCTTCGCAGACTACGAGGTTGGCGAAGTGTGGCCATGGATCGAGTAGAGTGGAGACGACTTCTTCGGACAGCAGAGGACAACAAGGCCTTAGTCTGATTGGTAAGGTAAGGTAAGTAGATAGAGAAAAACGATTAAACGTCAAAAAGGTCTATTGAGTTCTCCAAGCAGGATCTCACGAACACTACACTAATAATATAATTTTACACACACTAGCGTATACTGTCATGTGCACGGTAAGAATCAAACTCTCATTTATGAGTAAAAGTGAACCTATTGTAATTAAAAATGACACTGCTAATTAAGGAGTAATTTATTATACCAATTAAGTACTAACTGTTAGCTACTGTTAGCAGAAACTCATTATTGTTAAAATAATTTACTCATTAATTAAATATATAACAATTTTACATATAGTAAAATTAAAAAACATGCGAAAATACAAAATTTCGACGACGTTCTTTTGCGTTTATGGTGGACGAGGTTCCACACGGTTTCTGTGGCGATTTCTGATGCTTCCAGCGGAGATTTTAGAGAATTTTGACGGAGTTTTCACAGCGGAAGAGGATTTGCACGATTTTGGTGGAGGTTTCCGATTTTGTCAGTGGTGCGATATTGAGTGAGGGAGAGAAATCTCGCGCAACACGAGAAAAGGGCCTATCATTGTTGATCGATTCTCTTCATCGATTTTCTCTTTCGCGAATAACCCGGCTGCAAATGATTTTCCCATTCAGTGAGATGCTTCAGGCGGAAGCTAACAGCATCTTCTGTCGAACTGTGCTGCGAGCTTAGCGAGAAATTCGTTTATGTTGCCATGGTTAGAGTCGGTGTATAATGAGTCACGCCAAGAGTGAAGCCAAGTCTACCTATTGAACTGTCAAACCGGCTACCTATCGTGCAAAGTAAACAAACATTACGATGCTATGAAAGGTCTACGAAAGGTATTGCAATAAAATATAAAATATAATTGAATACATGATCATAAACACGCAGTGAGCATTAAATTGTCATGGGATACGTTTGTTAACAATCAGTAATGAGAATTTCTACTATTTTTTTGTGAAAATGTGACAAAATCACTGATAATAATGATTTACAACAGCCGCTATTTTTTTTTCACGCTAGAAGTCATTTGAAGTTGATGTAGAAGTCCTCTGTTGCCATGTTAAAAGAAAGAGAATCTTTCGAAAACCGTGATGCGAGTTAAACTGTTTTTCTCTTGGCGTGACTCATTATACACCGACTCTAGCCATGGTGAACCAAAGAGAAAGTCGATGAAGAGAATCGATCAACGAGGATAGGCCCTTTTCAAATGTTACGCGAGAAATGCAAGATTCACGGTACAAATTAAAAACTATTTTATTAGTTAAAAGGCTGGGGTATACCTGTATACATTTCAACAACCTAAACTCGATCCTTAACCCCTTCAAAACTTCCCCTTGGCATACAACAGAACCACATTCGACACCTCGAGGAAATTGATCCCCACTAATCTAGCCGTCCCCCGCTTGCAGCCGATTGAACAGCTCCACCTCCACCTCGCAGTTGTTACTGTTTCATAATCAACGCCACGGATGAAGAACCACGTCCAGCTTGCCGGAATCCATCCGACGGAGTATAGCCAAAAATATCCATTAATAACGTCCCAATGACGCGATCATCTAGATAAAATTGATTAATAGTAGATTTTTAGCGATGGGCCCAATCTTAGATCCATAGGCCAACATTAGAGACATTTCCCCTACATCAATTTATTTTTATCACGCTTCGTTTTCTTGCACAATCACAAGCAAATAATCACAGTCACAAAAGTCATTTAAATTTCAGAGTTGCCAAACTCATGGGATACTTCATTGGCACGTTTCGGCACAGCGAAAACTATCGGCACAGATTGAGGTGTGCAGAGTTGATTGCCCCTTGACTGATGAGTTCAGAAAACATGATTATTGGGCTGCCAAACAATATCTGACTGCTCAGTTATATTTAAGTAGTAAAATTTTGTACATTACCGTATGATTGGTAGTCTTTTTTTTTACCGAACTTCTGTGTAATTTCGAAAACAATAAATTTAACGACTTCGCTTAGAAAACCGACTTTCGAACCGAGGCCCAGAGGGCCAAGTGTCATATACCATTCGACAGGTGCATAATTAATTTGTTGAATCTCGGTAATTCTCGCACCTTTAAGTAGCTCGGCAATAATTTATACTAAGCTATCAGCAAAAAGGGACGCTTGCTTGCTAAGATTCAGCGATACATCTTCCGATGCATAGCCATCGCCACATTACTTTTGCTGAGATCTCAGTAAAGCTTAATGCCAAGCTGGTCGGCGGGGCCGGAATTACCGATATACGATAAACCAAACTTGTGTGAACCAGTAGTTTCTGCAACAAATTCGACACAAAGCAAACATTAATTAGATATAATGGGCAAGTCACAAGTCAACGGTAGATGGATTAATTCGGTTTTTTTACTCTCTACTAAATCAACTGAGGGAAGTTCGTTTTACAAATAAAGATGATGAAAAATTTAAGCAAACTTATGATTGTGTTAACAAGTTTAATACGATTCAATTCCGAGCAATTCAAGGAAATAGGTCGAATAAACTGTCCTTACTACTACTTTTGTTGTTTTCTCGGGGGTCCAAAGTGATAAATAACGTATCATTCGAGGAGCCATGATCGGCTATATCCGGACTTGGAGGAAAGAAGCAAAAGGAATCATTCCTTCGTGGTTCATCGAAGCTGAAGATATCGTCAAATGAATGGCTCGGCTGCGTAAAATCAAATTCAAACTGGAATGTTTCATGGCTGGATTTCGGCTTCGATGGACTTCCAAACGAAATATCTTCGTTTAAAATCTGCTTTACGTTACTGATTGGCGATGGTGGTGATGCAGTCTGAAAACGAAAGTGAACATTATTATTATTATTATTATTATTTTAATTTTTGCCGAAGCATGCTTACCAGCAGAGAATCGACAATCTTTCGTTTATTGGATCGTGGTAATAGTGTCTGAAACGAATGATAGGTCGTGTCGTGCTCAGGGAATGGTCTAGACATACGATCGCAGCCTAGTTGAACTTCGATGAAAGCTGATGTATCGTTTAGATTAACCACACTAGTATTTTCTCGAGGAACAATGCTAAACAGTGATGGCGAATGATTTTGCTTCCGATACTGATGATGCATCTGATTGCTTAGCATTGAATGATCCTTCCAACTGCTGCGCTCGACAAGACTTGCTGGAAAAGTTGGTTCTGTAGTTTCAGATGGCATGTTTTTCGATTGTAGTCTCCAATGTTCTTTCAATGTGCAGTAGTTTCGGTCCAGAGGAGAGCTTTTGCTATCGGAGATTGAAGCACACCATTGATCAAGCATCGTTCCGACCCTTTGCAGAAAGCATTCACTGTCATTTGCTGGCAGTAGATTGATAACTTTTTTACGCGTTAGCTCCACTGGATCCAAAATGATCGGAGAGCAAACGATTGGATTTCCGTCGAATGGTGTCGAGGTGGCTGGGGGAATGAATGTTGAACCAACGCTCATCAGCGTTTTATTCCCATTTTTGGGTGCCTCGAAGGGAAGCGTCATTGGTTCTCTTCCGGAAAAAAAGGTTCCCGGAAGTTCCAAGTATTCACCAATCTTCTTATTCGGTTTGTTCTGCTGCTCAGTCATTTTCTGCTCATTTGAAGTCTTTTTGCGGAAACTAAGCCACTGCGCCAGGCCACGTGGGGGTGCATTAGGACTTAGCTGGCACTTCACAAACTTATCGGATCCCTCATGACGTTTAAACCGCGCATGAACTGGCTGGTTCGCAACGGTTGGATTGACCTCCGGATGAGGTTTATTCGCACCCTGTGCGAAAAATTCCTTCACCGTATTGGGTTGTTCGGCATCGTTTTGAACTTTTAGAAGGTTTCGTTTCACACCTTGCCGAAACAGACTGTCTCGGTCACTGTTTTTGCCAATCGGAAATCGCTGTACCGGTCGTGCTATAGATTTTGGGAGAACTTCGGGTACTTTCTTGGATTGGTTCTGGTTTAAGAAATTTTTAAACAACTGCTGCACGTACGTACAGTTGTCTACTTTGGGTTTAGGTCTCCGTGGAGCCATAATGTCACTGATTGTTTATGGTTGTTAATCAAGGCGCACGTGATCGGGTGCTCAAACCGTCAGTTCGAGTTTGAAGTTTCAGTTGCAAAAGGGTGCGTTCAGTAGTGGTTTAGGGCATACTCAATGCTGTTTTAAATTGCATGGGTGTAACGATTTACGATTTGATTTTGGCTTGAGTGTGGTTGTGTGGACATTGTTTCGGATAAAAATAATAACGATTCATCGTGTGCGTTCTGATTTGTGAACTTTATTTCTGCTCAACGGTCAAAAAAGCATGTCTATGCAGCATTTTTTTTTGACACTCAGTTAATGCTGGAATAGAATTTTCTGTACAATCTACTTTTATTTACATATCTCCTTTCGTTGAAAACAATCGCAGCAGTAATTATTTAATTCATCACAAGTTAATTGTTTGATCAACGACATTGAACTACTTTTATAAATGTCTGATTTTTGTGGCGCATAACGCTCGCTTCATATACACTGATTACAGTTTAACGTGAGAAGATTATATGATATTCGTCATTGTTTTTTGTTCACTAAAGTCCAATTATGACAATCGTTGTGATGTTGCAATAATATTTTTATTTTCTTTTGTCTTCAAGTATGCTTCCAGTTGTTATTGTTTTTGATTTCAAACAAATTCAGACTACTTTGATTCTCGATGAATGGTGCTAATTACGCGATGGCCGGGCATAGTTCGCTCTTTTTCGGTCGGTCCATTCATCTTAATTGAGGCTGTTCTGTTCATCTTGAAAACGTTGAATCCTGCCAATCATCCTGTAATAGTTACGCTAGAGAATTATTGAAAAATTGTGGGGAAAGAACAGAGACGCAGTGTGTTGATAGCAGTACATAGACGGACAACGTTTCGTTTGGTTTTTTAGTTCTAACGATTGAGATGAAGATTTACCTCCTGTTCATCCTGGCCATAACCAACTGGGTTAAGATAGCCCCTTTTGCCAAATCTGAAAATAAACGGAAGAAATTGTTGTACAAATATAGGTAGCAACATTCCAAGCTAGGTACAAGGGTAACAAATTCTACGATAGATAAAAGTGGAAAAGTTGTGTGCTCTTACATGTAGAAGTGCTGTTTGCTACATGTGTAGGAGGACTTGAAAGAAGTTTAATTTTCTATATGAGGTCAGAGACCCCTCACCTTGGTCTAGCATCGGATGAATGAGCTCTATCGATTGCTTCTAGGATGAAATATCCGATAATTTTGTCAAGTCCCGAGTGAATACCGTTATAATTGGGGGGAAGTTCACTGCGTGCCAACCTACAAGAAGAAATATAGATAGAATAGACGCTTTCGCACTTTAAGGTGGGAGTGGATTTGAATTGATTTGGAGAAAAGAACGCGTAGGATATGGTTTATGGTCTTTTTGTAAGGTTGGCATGCAGGTTCCATTTCATGTGGTTTATCAGATGTTTTATAAAAGGATTATCTATGTACTACACAGCCATTTATTTTTTCGAAACTGTTCCGTTCTTCCATTTTTGGATAACGAAATAGGGAATTTTATTTAAAAATATTGATTGGCCCCTGAAACTCTTATATTTTACATCACATTGAAGTCACTTAGCTATATTTTTTTCCGGAATTATTAATTCATTAGATGTTATAATGTTATAAAAAGAGATTGTATGTGTTTGACACATAAAATCTGAAATTTTCGCTTTGAACGTGTCACAATCTGTGATTTTTTGATTAATGAATGTTCACTTTGAGTGAACGCTAACGAATCATAATTGTAACTCTCTGAAAGCGTATGTAACAGGTTTAATGTATTCTGATGAATGTGGGCAGCTTAGTGTATAAAGAGAGAGAGAGAGAGAAGGATTAGTAATTTTCATTTAATTCTACTACCATATTTGCATATCATGACAGATACGCGTATTTCGTCTACAATGTGCAGACTTCTTCAGTGTCTTGTACTACAAGTAAGTATTAGTACAAGACACTGAAGAAGTCTGCACATTGTATACAAAATACGCGTATCTATCAAGATAAGCAAATAAGGTAGTGGAATTAAATGGAAATTACTAAGGTTTTATGTGTCAAATTGTAACTTGTATTGTATTATTGTAACTTACAAGTACTATATCATTATAACATCTAATGACTTCATGGTTCCGAAACACATTTTTATGGCGAAGTGAAGCGATGAGTGAAATGTATTATATTATAACTATAACTGGTCAAACACCCGTGAAATATCGTCAATTCACCCATACTGGATGAAGAAGATACTTGAAATTATCTAGAAGATATAAAGTCTGGAACGCGCAAAAATTGGTTAACTTCAAATTGGTGTATTTCTGTTAAAAATGCATTAAATAAACCTGAAATGCTGCATTTGGAAGTTGAGTGTATATACAATGGTTGCTATGATGAGTTTTCACCGTTTGCTCTCCAGTTTTCAAAATTACGTCCAAGCAAGAGGAGAAGCATGTCATGCAAAATTGCTGGATGTGGCCAAATCGACCGTGACAAACGTTTTAAAAGTGTTCGGGGAGCGTCTGCCGACCGCCAGGAAGCCTGGAAGCGGCAGCAATCGTAATCCGGACGTGGCAGCGACGACGAAGAAGGTAACGGTGAAATATAAGCGGAATCCTAACCTCTCCATTCGGGACGTTGCTGGCAAGCTCAATGTCTCCCATACTACTGTGCAGTGGGTCAAGAAACGAGCCGGGTTGTCGACGTTTAAGACGGTGAAGATGGCGAACCGAGATTACAAACAAAACACGTCGGCAAACCAGTGGTCTCGAAAGCTGTATACGAATCTGCTCTCAAAGTTCGACTGTGTCGTTATGGACGACGAAACTTATGTGTAGGCGGTTTTCAAGCAGCTTCCGGGACAGGAGTTTTATACCGCATCAGGAAAAGGGAAGGTGGGTGAAATTTTCTGAAAAAAACTTCTCGCCTGGCAGGGCATATGCACGTGTGGTCTAAAAAGCGGCATTTTCATTACTACGGGAACCATCAATCAAAAGATCTACGTCCAGGAGTGCATGGAAAAGCGGCTGCTACCATTCCTAAAGTAAAATAATAGACCTGTGCTGTTCTAGCCGGACTTGGCAAGCTACCACTATGGGAAAAAGGCAATCGAGTGGTTCGATGCGAACAACGTGGTTGTGGTACCCAAAGACCACAACCCTCCCAACAGCCCAGAACTCCGCCCTATCCAACGGTATTGGACCTTGGTCAAACGGAATCTCAAAAAAACTAATAAATCCATGGAAAACGAGCAGCAGTTTAAATCTAACTGGCGTTCGGCGGCGAATAAGGTCGATGAGACCACTGTGCAAAATTTAATGAAAAGGGTTAAGCGGAAGGCACGGCAGTTCGAATTTGGCAAACCATGAAAATAAACGAACATTTTTCCCTTTAAATATATAAATTGAACTACTAAAAGAATAATAAGAAGATTTTTGTGATATGAATTTTGACTGAAAGAAACGATTTTTTTGTCGACCAATTTTTGCGCGTTCCAGTCTTTAGCTAGAGGTAACTCTAAGACCAGAAGGTCCCGAAGAAATGTGCTAAACTTTTTGGCTCAGCTTTGGTACTCGCTTCGGTCCCAAGCAAATCGATGCAAGCATTCACTTCAATAAGCCAAGTGGTTCGATCGTGATCGCGGCATCTAACATTTTAAAAAGCATACCGTATGCGTGATAATGTTTGCACCATTAACTTCTTCGTCTTGTTCGCATTTCAACCTTTCGCATGCGAATAACTCAGATCTGACAACATGGCGTAGGGTACATGACCAAACAACATGCTCGATATCATGATAACCACTGTCACACGCACATAAATTGCTGCCTGAGAGCCCAATTCAATAGAAGTGCGAGTCTAACGAACAGTGATTGGACATAAACCTTGACATAACGCGTATAAAGTTACGGCTCATGTCCAACCCTTTGAACCATGGTTTGTTCGACACATGTAGGAGAATATAATGTAACCATCTTCCCAAATCACCATCATTCCATTTTTGTTGCCAACTGATGAGGACTTGCTGACGAGCAATGGAGAAAAATTCGTTGAAGGCGATTTGTCGCTCAAAAATATCGAGTTCCATAGCGCCCACCTTAGCCAACGAGTCCGCTTTCTCATTACCCGGAATTGAGTAATGAGATGGGACCCAAGCTAAGGTGATAGTATAGGAGCAGTTGGATAAACCACTCAGCTTAGATCGTATTTAAGGCAGGAAATACGGGGAGTGCTTCATCGGCCTCATTGAACGAATAGCTTTCAATGAGCTAAGACTACCCGTAAAAATGAAATAATGGTCAAAAGGGAGTGAGACAATTCGCTGTACTGCGTAAAATATGGCTGCGAGTTCCGCAACGTATACGGAGCATAGTTTTTTTTTTCAGTTTATAGGAGGCGCTATGAAATTGATTAAATATACTAAATCCAGTGGAAGCATTTATGGTCGACCCATCTGTGAAAAAACTTTTATCGTTACTTACATTGTGGTTGATTGCAAAAATTGAGGGAACAACCATCGACCGATGATGATCTGGTACTCCATGGATTTCTTGCATCATGGTCAGATCAAAATTTACAGAGTAACTATAGAAGGCTTGAAAGCAATCACGATTGGAGATCAATGAAGAAGGACCAACCTCCAGCGTCATGTACTCATAGTACAAACTCATGAATCTTGTTTGAGGATTTCGATCGAGCAGCTTTTCAAAGTGTTCTACCAAAGGATGCATTACTTCACAACCAATGAGAAATCGGAAAGACAGCTCAGCGAAACGAGTACTTTGAGGCTAATCGTATGAGTCGAGTGCATACAGCCTAGTGCAATACGAAGGCAACGGTATTGGATTCGTTGAATTTTAAGGATGTGTGTTTTTGCTGTGGATTGGAAGCAAAGGCTGCCGTACCATAGAGGTAACTCTAAGACCGCTGGGTCCCGAAGAAAATCATTCTTATTTTTGGCTCACTCAGTACCAGAACAACGGTCCCAAGCAGTCCCAAGCTATTTCACTCACCCCTGCATGTTCTGCATGAATCCACACACCCCTGATGTTATCTGTCAAACTTTCATAGCGAATCAAAACAAACATAGTGTAGTAATAGAATTTCAACTAGAATAGGGTACGTTAATCGTTTGCTTGGGACCAATAGGCTACTAAAGTGGTGAGCCAATTTAAAATCGTTAGTTTCGTATTGATTGTTGGCCGTACTCTGAAACCGAAAGGATGGTTGTTCGGTACAACCTGATCAGATCTTCCGAGTGGGCGCCCCACCACCGGTAATTATACGAAGAAAATTAATCCTTTGCTGGCATTTTTGTTTTAGATATGCAATATGTTTTCCCCATGTGCATTTGGAATCGAACCAGACACCTAAATACTTAAAAGAAATGCTTTGAGTGATTGTTTTACCCATTAGCTGAAGCTGTAACTGTGCAGAATGATGCTTCCTAGAAAAAAAAAAAGAAAAAAAACAACCAGCTCAGTTTTCTCCGGAGAGAATTCGATACCCAGCTTCATAGCCCAAGTAGACAAATTGTCTAAGGTATCTTGCAATGGTCCTTGCAGGTCCGGTGCACTTGGTCCTATAACGGACACAACGCCGTCATCTGCAAGCTGCCTTAGCGAGCAATTTTCATCAAGACAACCATCAATGTCTTTTACATGAAAATTATAAAGGAGGGGGCTTAAACATGAGCCCTGGGGGAGTCCCATTTAACTAATTCGTGAAGTTGTCGAGTTTCCATGAGAAAAGCTCATATATTTCTCAGACAACAAGTTGCTCAAATAGTTGTTCATAATTGGTGAAAGCCCACTATCGTGGAGTTTATCCGAAAGGACATCGATACAAACAGAATCAAATGCCCCCTTAATGTCCAAGAAAACTGAACCCATTTTCTGTTTTTGCGCATAAGTCAGTTGAATTTCAGTTGAAAGCAATGCAAGACAGTCGCTCGTTCCTTTACCTCGACCCATTTGTCTAGACGAAAAAGAACCATTTTCTCCAACAATTTCCGTATACGGGACAGCATCGCGATGGGACGGTACGAGTTGTAATCCGACGCGGGTTTACCGGGTTTTCGAATGGCGATAACTCTTACTTGCCTCCAGTCATCCGGAACAATGTTGTGCTCCAGAAATTGATTGAATAAGTTCAACAAGCGTCTCTTCGCGACGTCTGGGAGATTTTTGAGCAAGTTGAACTTGATTCTATCCATTCCTGGAGCTGAGTTGTTACATGAAAGGAGAGCAAGTGAGAATTCCACCATCGAAAAAGGGGAA